CATTCTGTTAGGACATCAAACGTTTTGATGTCACCCGTCTTTATGTGGACAGTGTGATTCTCGAAATTGAGGGACACTCCATTGGCATTCATCCAAGGAGCTCCGAGAATGGTGTCGTAGCAGTCAATGTTAATGACGTCAAAGTAGTGAGTAGTCATAATCCCATGAATGGTTATGGGAGTATTCGTGCTGTACATTATGCACGATCGACTGTTTTTGGTCCCCATTTGGAGAACCAAGGGGTTTGGCAACTCGAGCAGTGGAATGTGCACTGCTTGGACGAAATCTGGAGATAGGGCATCTGTTTCAGTGCCACTATCAAATAGGACAAAAGCGTTTACCCTGGCGATGTTAACCTCGCTGGTGAGTGTCTGCCTTAAATCGGTGCTGCGGTTTTCAGGGTATTTACCTGCCTCTCATGAGATTCTAAACTTCGCGTTGAATATTGGCACACTTTGCATTGACGGTTTGGTGGATGAAGATTTAGGGACCGGTATTATGCCGTCCCTTTTGTAAGATTTTACTGCATTGTCGACAAGCTCAGCCACTATCTGCTCATCAGATGGCAGTTTGTCCACTTGCTGAGCAGACGCTAGTTTAATGGTGAAATTTTCGTCTGTGGGGTCCATGAACGTCATTGCACCAACAAAAATGTCGGCATCCACCTGTACGTACTCCTCCTCCACCTCAGCAAGGAGGTTGGGATCATACAGGTTGTCCATGAGTGTATCGTCGAATGTTTCATCATCGGGCATATAATCCTGCACCTCTGCAGGATCTTCAACACCTTCCGGTTCTTCTACAGGCTCTGAGTCCTGTAGGTCTTGCTTGTCAGATTCGATGGCTATATTGTACATGCGTGGTTTGGGCTTGTTGTGATTTGGGCAATCACGTTGATACCCTACCTTCCTGCATGTATAACAACGTGGTTTCCCATCCTTATCCAAGGATGGTGTCTATTTTGTTGTTGTAGACGACATCGACTTCTCTGTTTTTGGAGCCAGCAAATAGCTTGTGCAGAAGGTCGAGCGTTGCCCGCTCTTTTGAGTTGATGTGTTCCCACTGAAGGTGTTTTTATACACTTTCTTTGTGGATGAGGAATCAGCAGCCTTTTTGGTTGCTGCTGCAGTATTGGTATTGGGTTTTTGCGTCGTTTTCGATGCGGTTGGCGCCTGCAAGTTGTTACAATATGCAGAGATTGCCTTAATTGAATTGTATGTGTGGTCCAGGTGGAGCATGGCAGTCCACAACTCGTCTTTCGTTGTGTAATCCACGGAAATTTTGTGGCGCATAACCATCTCCTGATGCATTTTGCCAGGGATGGCGTTCAGGAAACATTCATTGAACATTGCCTGGTCAGGAGGCATGATCATCTCCTCAGCTGCATGATACAGCTGATTATAGAAGTGTTTGATTCCCTTCGTGGAATCGTACGAAAGCGTTTTGAACACTTTTGTGGACGCTACTGCTGCAGACTTCTTGATGAAAGTGCAGATAAGGATCTCTAGCAGATCCCAGAATGGGGGAGTTTCCCTGTTCTGCACTCCAATGCATATATAGTGCATTAGGAGGTCTTGTGCCTCACCTTCGATGGCAGTTGTCAAAGTGTGGATGTGAAACTCATTGTAAGCTTCACCCTTCCACCCACACGACGACATATATGCTAGCCAGGAGTGCAGCCAGTTGTGAAATAACTTTGAGTTATTTTCTCCAGACCATTTAATGGTTGGAGTTAGTCCCTGCATCTTTTTGAGCAGTTCTGGATGGACATCTGCAGGCAGTGGCTGCAGGATCCGAACTTCTACACTTCAGCATGCAGACTCAAGAAGCCGAGCCATGAACTCAGACGGATCAGGCACTACTCATGCTGCAGGAGCTGCATATGAACGCATGGTTGAGTCAAACAAACCGGGTTGTACAGACGAGCGGTTTGGGAAATTAGATGAAGGCTCCCATTTTATCTCGGTGCCAAATGGGTCAGGGAATGGTGGGTTGGGCCAGGACAAGCCACCCTTGCCACCATCCTTGTCATCACCATCCCCATTTGGACGGCAAGGCCTTCTTCCTGAGTTAGACCTAACTTGGTCTACATGCCTCTTGCTCCCTTCTGGAGCCGCAGGTGGTTGTGAGAAGTGGTGGTAGTTGTCCAGCACCCATCTGAGTGCTGTGCTGTGGGTCAGTCTTTTGGGGTTTTCACCATTTGCCCCATGACCCACATTGTATACGAATGCCATGTCTGTATCCAGATGGGCGTTAAAATTGAAAGTGGATTTGCTGAGACTATGGTTTGGGACGAAACTTCCTTGCATGTTTTTTCCGAGTTAACCAATGCAGAAAACTTGATTCAAATTAAAATCCTACTAGGAAACATGGCAATAAAATGTTATTTTATAAAGTTTCGAAAATTTGGGGGGTGGCCAAATGTCTGAGGGAAAAAAAGTTGGAATAATTGGTGAATGGAGGATAGACACAGTGAGAACAGACTGAAATAGTGAATGGCCACAGTGTCAGAGACCAGGTTGAGACGAAGGAGTGTCTCCATGGTGGAGGGCTTCGGCCTCAGCGACTTATGCAAGGAGCGCTGTGCCAAGTAACACGTCCATGCCCTAACTTACTAAACTGGCAACCGGAACTGAAGGGGGTAAACTCTAGTTGATTTTATTACTGAGGTGTAACCTATGTACAAGTTGAGCATATATATAGTTACAATGAGGGCAGGCCCGCAAATGGTGGAGCCGAGCCGAGCCGAGCTAATGGGGTTTAGACATTAGCCGATTGAATATTACTGACGAGTCGGGTTATGGGGTTAATGGAATGGTAGGCAATAACCCAGAAATGGAAAGGAGGGATAGGCCCGAAGGTGGGCTTGCAGGGCAAGCGAGTGTATTGCCCAGCAGAGGTGGGAGTGCGCTAGTGGATGTCGGAGCTGTCTGGAGGCCTTCAGGGCTCCGTACTTAGGGAGGTGTAGGTAATAAATTGAAAAGAGGGGGTGGTGACCATCGAGGGGTACCGAGGTGATTGCGGAATACGGGAGCTCCGAGGTTAGTGAAGAAGGAGCGGAGGTAGACTGGAGGAATTGGAGGGAGTGGAAGTCGATGGCTGGGGATGGATATGACACACAGGCTTCCTGTAGTTTCACTTGGGCCTGGTGCTGACAAGCAGTTTTGGCAGGGGGCACGGTGTTAACTGAGTCCTTGCACATGATGCTAACTCCTATTGCTGATACCGAGATTTCATGTGTATCTTAGACATCTAAACCTTCTCATGTGTGTGACTTTAGCCACAGGAACCCAGTAGGCACCTCTCATGGGTGTCATTGTATTTCCTAATCGGGAAGATGAGGTGGCCAATTTGCTGGCAGGTTTTTTCTTAAAACTTAAAAGAACAAAAATCTATCCTGATACATTGAAAGAGTGTCCAAATGCAATCATTTTGCACTAGGTTATGTGATGTTTAGATGTGATATGACAGGGCTGAAAAGAAAGTTTGTTGGAAGCAAATTGAAGTGCCAAAATTTAGCGTCCCACACTATACGCTGAAGGAGGAGAACAGAAATCCTATAAAAGGCTGTTCTTTCTTCTGATACTTATATGTTAGTATTGGTACTTTAACTCAACCACTGTAGTGTTTTGGTTGCTTTGTGTATTGATATTTGTATGTGTTACTAATTGTTTGTGTGTGTATGTAACTCTCAGGGTTCAATTCACTTGTCTACCTGATTGTTCCACACGAAAATCGCGCTATAGACCTGCTATTTTTAGTCGTTTCACCTCTGTCTTGTCACTTTTAACTCGGAGCGACTCCAACTGACTTGACTCAATGTCACTATTTCTTAACTTCTTCTTAACTTTTTACTGAGGGTTGATCACTTTTACTCAGATGTGATCTGAACTGCACACTTATACTAATAAAACTTAATTTTTATTAGGACACCTTATGACCTATGAGCCAGAGCATGTAGAGTGAAGAAGGAAGAGGGGTCAGACCAGAAAGTGAGGTCTTTTATACCTTTCCTAAGGGCTCTGTTTTCACATGTCACTTTACTATTTACATTGTAGAGTAATCTTTGTATTGAGCTTAGTAATCCTCTTATGTAAGTGATCAGCATCCCATTCTGCTTCTAGAACCTTCTGGAAGTTTTGGTGTGGGAATTAGCTGATTGCACTGCCTAACACCTGTCATGACCTTGTTTACCCTTGTTTACTCACTTTATTCTAAGTCACATGTCATGGGGTTATTTGTTAGCTTAAGGGTGTAGCTTTCTGTCGGTATAAACAACAGTAAACTACAAGGATTATTTATGAAGATATGAATTTTTCAAGATTTAATTTTGAGGCTCTCCAGATTGCTTTGGCATTAGCTCACCCATTTTGCTACAATTAATTCTGGATAAATTATGCCTTGTTTCTGGACTCAAACTCTTTAGTTTAGCATTTCTAGCTCATCCGTTTCTACCACAAACTCAGGACGTTTGAGCCAGTCTTCTCTGCAAGTGTGTTTTAATCTTGTTAAATCCGTTTCTTCCTCAATTCTTCAGATTTTAACATGAAATCCTTTTGTACACAGACCTATACTTCAACTCTTTAAGACCAACAAGGATTCATATTTTTCCCTATTTTCCTCGTATAAATATTCCCAATTCTTTCATCTTTTCCTCGTACCTGACCATTTTTCATTATGTGAATTCCTTGGTTTTCTTCCGATTTCTCTTTGTAATTCGTTTCGTACGTTTGTAAAACTATTTTCCCACGTTACCGCGAATTTCTAATATTTTATTTGATACAGGAAACCTTGTTTTTGTTTTCATGTGGGTTTATTTGCTGTTTTTCTTCATTTTCTGGACCATCTTTTAATCCCTAGACTTGAAAGTTTGCGTAGATACTCGTCCCATTGACTCTGTTCTTCAGTATTTTTTCGATAATTTATTTCAATTTGTTTCGCTGAGTTATGATTTTATTACTATTTCTATTTCTGGTCCGCAGAGGTTGTATGATTTTTATCTAATTTTCTGTGATGGTTTCTGGTTGTTTTAGTGTTGTAACTTGTATATTCCTACAAGGCTCAGCGAAGATTGGTCTGACCTTGGCTGGCCGGTCATCTACACGATCCTGGATGTGGATCGGGTGCTTTTTCCATGTGTGATAATCGTATGCATCATTGACAATTTCCATGTCATTGTCCTCCTCCTGTATCATCTCCACAGTGGGCTTCATTGGCACTATTTTCTTCCTCCTGTAGTCAGGAGGGAGATTACACATTTGAGTAATGTCAACACATGGTATTTTCACCCCACTGTGCATGGGTTGCGACGACAGAATGAATGGCGTGGGCATGAAGCCTGGCCTGAAATGGGGTGGAAAAATTCCACTCTCCCCTGCAGTCGATGATCCAGCCAGTTGTCCTGGGTCGATCTCCCTACCTTTCCCCTTGGTGTCAGTGGTTACTGGCGCCATCAATGGGGTAGGTGGCTTAGTTCCACTAAAGATGGGAACAAATCATCCATTGGGTTCTTGTACCTCAACAGATGGGTGTGGATTTGCCGCTTCTGTGGTGACAGCAGTGGCAGTGGGGATCCCTTCAGCTACTGGGACCCCAATGATTGGTTGACCCGTTTGACTGACGGGGACTACAGGGACCTCTTGGGGTGCTTGCGCCTCAACAGTGGGTTCTTTTGTCTTCTCAGAGACGACAGTGGGATCCCCATCGGTTGATGGGTTTGGGGGTGGGTTTTCCACCGTTACCGCTGTAGGAGAAATAACGGTCACACTATGGAAACCCATTATGAAAATATGCCAGATAAATCACAAAACCCCATACGACAAGTAGATATGAGAAAATAGAAGGACCTGAATCTTAATGAATTTTTACAAATTTTTACGAATTATTATGACTATATGTGATAAATTGAAGGAAAGAAAATTAGCAAAAATACTTCAAGCTTAGCATCAACAAAACGGAATTCTCGGGGGAATTTATACCAAATATTAAAGAAAGAATTAGGTCAATCGACCAAGATTTGACTATAGAAACAATCAGAGAGCCTCCACGGAAACTACTTTCCCACGTCCGCACACATAGCCAAGGATGGAAGTACCGCAGAACAAGGATTCCTCAGGAACTAATGCAAAATTCAAAGTCGTGTTTATAATAGGAAATGTATATGTCCCTCAAATGGACCCAATGAAAGTAATTACAGGGAAAACTATCCATAAACGACGGAGATATGACTAAAACTCCTGCAAAACGAGGACAACGCTTAAAAAGCAAGCGCAAAGAATAACCAGTAACGACCGAGACAAGCTTGATAGCCCATTAGAAAGGAAGGGATCTAATCTTAATCCACCCAAATTTTCATAATAAAAGGATCACGCATTAATGAGATATCCAATAATGGGAATAGCGACATCAAAAGTCCGAGCTCAGGGAAAAAACGATGTTTACGAAGGATCCATAATTAAAACATACAACGAAATTTACACGGAAATTATGAAAAATAAGAAACTATCGTTATGCAAATTTTCAGCCCAAACGGTCCAGCCGTTGTAAAGTTATACCAATGATGGGAATATAGAAATCCACATCATGTTTGATGACATGTGAGGGTGGCAATGCGAAGGGAACCGGCTGTCGGAACCGAGATCTGCACTTCGGCAGATCGCGAAGACCAATTTCCGTCCAAATAAGGAAGAGCCCGGTCAAAACAAAGCACGGAAAGTGCAAAACAACCTTAAATCATCAGGGAAAAATCTGAAATAAATCACAGAAGCCCATATGAAAGATATAAACACCTGCACATATCATAAATCCCGAACAATTAAACAGAAACAGTGCCCGCATATGAACGACTATGGGAATGATGCATGTGATTACCGAATGTGTGCGCGAACTTTTGCTAACTCGACGAATACCAGGAAATAGAACACAACTTTAGTACCATTGGAAAGGTGGGAATAAATGAAAATTTATGATACCAAAAACGTGAGAAACCATCCATAAATGAATGAGATACTAGGACATGAAGTTAGAAACCTGAAAACACGCGGGAAAACAGCTTCAAGAGGTCCAGAGCCCTAAATAAAATACATAAAAATATGATATCTTCGAGGACGACCTACTATAACAACAAACAATACATATGGAGGATTAGGATGTGATAATACAAGGGGGAATCAGGGAAGATGAACGAAATCCACGAAAACCACTAAACTATGACGGACCATGGCAGGAATTTTAGGGAACAATATTCTAATGAAGTGGAGAGCTACAATACATTCATTTGAGTAATTCTTGACTACTAGCAACTTTTTCTTTTGGTTTTAAACCTGAATAATTCACTCATTTACCATTTCAAGTCTCATTTTTACTAAATGTCACTGAATAAAAATGGAATAAATCAGCTGAAGGTCTCAGCGCAGCCATACACATAGTAATGCGAAGTTTGAATTCAGAATCACCGAGTCATAGCGAATTTAATGGTAAATATGAGGAATTTGAAATAGGAAACTGTGACAAATGCAGTGCAGTCAAGTTCTAATTAACCATTAAAATAGCTTAGGCAAGGAAGGACAATAAGGATTCTAGGTGCAGTCTGAGCGCAGTAGAACTATAGCGTGAAAATTTCATTTTTTATTCAGTTTGAGAAAAATACACTGTAAATAAATCCTGTGAATACGAGGTAGAGCGTGAAGGAGGAAGGCGACCCAAGGAGTATAAAAGGGAGACCCTTTCTGCGACTTTTCGCCCCCCTCAGAGAAGTAAGAAAATAGAGTATTATTTTTCTCAAGCATTTCTGGTTGTCACTCCAGTGCGAAAAAGTGATATACAGTTAAGATTGCCACTGTAGTAAAAGGCAGCAATTAAGGAGAGAAATATTAAGTAGATATTTCAACAGGAGAGCTGGTTAACACTCCAGATTTCAAAGTGTAAACACAAAACAGTTATTTTGCTACTGTTAAAACAAGCAATAAAATAAGACAAAAATAAAACAAACTCAAGGGACACTCCAGACACAATCCAAATCCATTAACTGAGTAGAATCTTTGAAACTTCACCAAGTAGAAGATTTAATTCAAGTTAAATTCCAAATTAAACAACGCTACACAGAATTACACCTAGACAAATTAAGAAAATTCAATAAAAGGAACAGCTCCGCAGGGCTCGGTTTATCTGTAAGTCAATTCCCAGAAACTTTAGACTAACCCATAAAAATAGAATTAGCCAAAACACTCGGATTGGTACTATATTTACAACAAATAATACTAGTACACTTCCCCATCAACCAGGGAACAGCTTGGTGGTGGTCTCGTTTGAACCTCCCAACTGACCTTCCTTCGTTCTCTCCTTTGGCGTGCTGGCGGGCCCGATGTGGGACAGCAGTCCCTGGCCACTTAGACTGAAGTGGAAAGGTGAATTATTATTAAAAGGGAAAACTACACTACTTACCTGAAGTGGAAAAGGTGAGAAGAAGGTTACTTCTTCGGTTCCCACTTCAGGTACATTTATGTACATGCAGCTTGAGTCACATGACGGGTGCCATGTCATCCTCGGAGATGGCCACAGCCATCTGGGTGTCCCTGCAGGGGATCCTGAGGGCATCCGCTGCAGGCATGCGTTGTTATGGAAATGGGAAATTTCCCAATTTAGACTCTTATGGGCCCTGCACACACCCAAATCACATGATATGTAAATAAATAGAGTTTATCGAACTATTACCATTGAAAACCCATTTGTTAAACTATCTGTTAAACTCCATGTTACAACATCTATAACAACATCTGTAACTTCTTATGAACCCTCTTCCCCAACCTTTCCCCTTTCCTGTGCCTCGAACGGACGAAAATGGGCGCCTCCGGCCCCATTTTTGTAACATGCGTGCTGGGCACAGCAGGGAGCTGTCCGGGGTGTCTGGGCTGGACGGGTCAATAGTACATTGATGCAAGGGAAAGTGGTCCGTGTAAATAGAAGGAATAAACAGGAGGAGAATGATGGGAAGAGTGAAATAAAGAAAGGGGAAGAAGGAGAGAAAAGAAAGAAAGAAAGAAAGAAAGGGGGAGGAAGGAGGAAGGAGAAGGATGGGTAGCAGGGGAGCGGGTGAGGTGTGGCTGGGTGGGCCCAGGTGGACCCGGGTCAGGCGGGTGTGCCCTGACAGTTTCCCTTTGTTCCCATTTGTCTTGTATTATGTATATAAGTCATGTACTGTAGTTGATGGCACCTCAGTGCAAAAATCGACAATAACGACTATCCCCCAGAGTTCACACCCCCTCATTCTGAAGTTAAGGACCAGACACTAAGCATTACTGAATGTAGGCACAGCGCTCCCCTCCAAGTCGCTGAGGCTGCGGTCCCTTCGCCTGTCCTCTACCTCCGGCCTCCCTTCCGGGGAAAGGTCCAGGCATGCTGCCCCCTCCTTGCCGTGTCCTGACAGAGGGGGCACTCAAATAGAATGTGAGTCATTGTTTCAGTTTGTTGGCATTGGTTGCACTCTCTCCAGTGTTCGAAGCCTGGGATTTTCTTCCAGTACTTGCTGATCTTGAGGCAGCTGTGGGTTAGCTTCCAAAGGAAGTTTCGGATCTTGTCAGAGTCTGCGCGTCTATTCACAGTGTAAGAGTATCCCCAGGAAACTAGTCAATATCAAAGCTGGGGGGCTAGCCCAGCTGGCATAGTAGCCTTATGTACATGAGTTCTGCTAACTCACGAGAGCGCAGTTACATTGGGAAGATGGTAACTGATAGAAGCACGACATCAAATAGGAAGATAGAAGATGCAGGAAATGAGGGAATATCGGGTAAGGGGTGACATGATAGCGAATATAGTGCAATGAGTTATATCTGCATTCTAACCACATAATTATCTCACGCAATCTCGGCTAATGATTACATCATTGATATCGCTTAGAGTAAAGGGGGGCCGGATAACCAGGCATCCCCTGACAGATCTCAGGGGAGATTTCTTTGCAGGGTTTCCCCAGGCAATCCCAGATTTTCTCTTGTGAGGGGGAGGCATTGCCCAGGTTCTCCAGGGTTGACTGGATCTTAGCGATATTGTTGGTCATTGTTGTTCTTACTTCAAGTTTCTTAGCTAACCTGATCCTGTGGATTAGTCTCGTTGCTGTAGCTTAGTTCAGGGCATGGAGGCGGGCTCCACTCAGTATGTGGGGGAGGGGGGGCATAATGGGTGGGAGAGGATCTGGGTCTAGGAGGATGCCTGTTGTGGCCAGGTTGTCCGCTTCTTCATTCGCAGAGGGTGTTGATACACCACTTCGAGTCGGACTTGATGTGGAGGTTTGATGATAGGGGCATGGAGGTGGCAGCATGGTGTATGGCAAGTATTTCAGCTGTGTTATTGGATTGTGGGTAGTGTGGGATTACTCTTTTGCTAGTGTTTCAGGGGTCATCTGGGCCGTACCATACTCTGAAGCTGGCATTCGCGTTTGTGTCACCATTTTGGGGACAGGAACCATCTGTGAATGCTACCACATTGCCAGGTTGCTGGGATTGGGGGGTCGGGTCCTTTGGGGTTTCTGGGGGTTCTGCTGAATACTCTGTAGTAGTGGTGGAGTGGGGAACATAGCCAGGTGGATGGGAGAAAAATTCTGATGTCTTTTGTGTTCCCAATGGCGTGTTGACTGGCAGTTTCCTCAGGGGAGTGGTCTGGTAGGGGAAGAAGCTGCGAGTCGCTGTATGGGCTGTAATGGAGGTCGAAGTTAGTGGTAATTTTCATTGCCATTTGGTAACATCCTTCCGCGTTTTTACAGCCTGCCAGTCTGTAGGTCATGCAGGGG